TTTGTGTGTGAAATCTCACTTTAAGAAGAGCCGCTCTGCGTGGTATTGTAGTCTGTTCTCGAGCGTTAAACCTTGCCCTGCCCACTGCCCTAGGACTAATACTCAGGTGAAATAATCATGAATACAGGAGAAAGGTGACTCATGAAGATGTTCCTTGCAGAGTAAATGTAATGGTGAAAAAAAATTTAATTGGAAATGATCTAAAATATCCAGAACTAGGGAATTAGATCTGTTAAGCCTTGTCCACTCTGTGGAATGACTGATAAATAGGACAGAGGCAGGGAATTTATGATAATGTGGAAACATATGTGTGATGTAATGTCAGGCTAGAACAGATTCAAAATTGCACTAGCAGAATGAACTTGATTATATAAAAATACATCTTGTGACTCAAGAAAACCAGAAGGATGGAGCTCAAGATGTTAACAAACTCCAGATGGAGGGGAGTCATTGAACTGTCTGCTGATGACGTTTCCCCTTGAGTCTTGACTTGACCCAGTGGGGCCACACAGAATGCGGCAGTCCTGCAGATGGGCTGCCTGTCCTCCCGTCATCCAACAGTCAGAAACTCTGGGCTGATCCCCTTCAGGGCCTGCGGGTCCTGGGATGGAGTCCTGGCCTCCCAGAGCTCACCACAGTCCATCAGGGGCAGAGAAGGATCAGGTGCTCCCAGTCCATCGTGGAAAATGCTGTGGCAGCGGCACTTTGGGGCCTCAGAGGGGGGCCTGGCTTCCTGGGAATGGGGGAGGGGCAAGAACAGCTCTGGGAACAACAGGACATTTAGACTAAAGGATAAAGAGTTTTCAAGGCCAGATATCCTCAGTTGTGTCACTGTCCTGGTGGCCTCCTGGTATCCCAAATGCTTCTAAATCTCATTTTTCCCCCAAGTTTCCTTAGTTATTCTTATTCAAGTATTCTTCCAGATGAATCTCAGAACCATTTTGTTGAGTTTCCAAAAAAGATCCTGTTGAAATTGTGCCACATTCACGGAGCATCTGGGAGAGCTGCTGTCTTTCCGATGGGGACATAGTGTCACCCTATGCTTGTTTTGATTCTCATGATTCAGAGAGCCCCCACCGAGGCGCTGGTGCAACACCTGCCAGGTCTACTACGTGGGGGACCTGATCCAGCACCGCAGGACACAGGACCACAAGGTAAGAGGACCCGCATGCTGCGAAGGCACCCACATGAGCTGTCACCGAGCCGAGGGCTGGGAAGGAGGGAGCCCAGGCTGGGAGTGGAAAGTAAATGTCAGTCTTTGTCTCCGCACACATAACTCATAAGTGTGGCTTCTCAATGAGTCAGTCCTGTTTCTTCTTTGGGCTTCGGTTTCCCCATCTGTCCAGTGTGGGCAAGGCACCGTCTCACCCCACCATTCAGCCACAGGGTTTGTGGGGGTCCTCTTGGTGGCTCCCTCTCTCCCTGTCTCCTCTCTGTCCTGTCTCTGTTGCCATCTGCTATCCCATCTCATAGCCCATGGCACAGGGAGGGGTTATATTGGCCCATGTTCTGGTACAGGGGCAGAGCACAGCCAGCTGATTACGGGTGTGGTGGCCTGCAGCTGGGAAGCGAGGTCTCACTGGGCACGGCCTGGCTGCACCTGGGGACACTGCCGGCTGCCCACTTGGCCTGCCCTCCTTTCCCCAGATCGCCAAACAATCGCTGCGACCTTTCTGCACTATTTGCAACCGCTACTTCAAGACCCCCCGCAAGTTTGTGGAGCATGTGAAGTCCCAGGGGCACAAGGATAAAGTCAAGGAGGTAACCCCAGCTCCCTCAGAGGAAGACAGGCCCAGAGAGGTACAGAGCCTTGGCCAAGGCCACACAGCAAGTTGAGGTTTATCCCAGCCTGAACTCATAGCAGGTCCAGAGGAACTGGAGCCTTCTGGGGTGCGGGGTGGACGGGGCGTGGCACCTTGGCTGCCCAGAGCTGACCTGAGCGCTGGCCCACTCCCCTGGGCAGCTGAAGATGCTTGAGAAAGAGATAGCTGGCCAAGATGAGGACCACTTCATCACGGTGGATGCCGTGGGCTGCTTTGAGGGTGATGAAGAAGAGGAGGACGACGATGACGAGGAAGAAGAAGAGATCGAGGTTGAGGAGGAATTCTGCAAGCAGGTGCTTGGGAGGGGGGTGTGTGGGAGGCAGGCTGGACTCCAAGCCCGGGAGGGACCTCGCCCCACCTCCCAGGGGCCGAGAGGCAGCGTGCGGCATTTGTAGGCACTAACGCATGCCACATTTAGTGTTAACAGGAACTATATACTGTGTGACTATATGTAAATATACACCATGATGACTACAGGGTGGCAGGTGAAATATGCAGGGGCCTCGAAGCCTGGCTGAAATTTTGACCTGTGTTGAGGAAGGGAAGGGTCAGCCTAGGCCAAGGGAACAGCACCAACAAAGGCACAGAGGGGGGACTGTGTGGTGTATACAGGAAAGATCAGTGTAAGATGATGATGCCGATGATGATGGTGATGATGGTGATGATGATGATGATGATGATGATGGTGGTGGTGGTGATGGTGATGGTAGTGAGAATAGTCACCATTTTTGGAGCACTCACCATATGCCAGGCGTGTACCAAGCATTTTCCCGGCAGAATCTCACCGACTTGGATGCCAGGCAGTGAGTTCACACTCATAACGCCCCAGCTCCGCCGCCCCCCATGAGTGAGGAGCTGGAGGAGCCTGCATTCTTTTCAGTCTAACAAATGTTTCTGAAGCACTTGTTTGGGGCCAGCCCTAGTGCTGGACACCAGGGATGTGTGGGGACCAAGGCCTGGCCTCTACCCTCACAGAGCCCACCCATTGCAGTCCAGGGTGGTGAGGGGGCAGCCGAAGCGGGGGTCGCAGAGGGGCTGTGGATGGAGGGTCGCAGGTTAGGGGTGAGGCTGGCTTTGCTACTCAGCAGTCAGCAGTGGCGTGACCCTGGGCAAGCCCCTTGGCTTCTCCGAGCCTCAGTTTCCTCTGCTCAGAACACTTGCATGTTTCCAGGTGAGGTCCAGAGATATATCCATAGAGGAGTGGAAAGGCTCGGAGACCTACAGCCCCAACACCGCATATGGTAAGAGCGCAGCCCTGACCCCCCCTGCAGGAGCTGTGGCCCTCGGGCCCAGCCCCCAGGCGACCCCCCAGATCCGAGCCACAGCATCCTGGCCAGCCAGCCTAGCCCTCCTCGTCCTCTTCTCTTCTCCCACCCAAAGGGTGAGGGAGCAAATGGGCCCCTGGAGAGGGCGGGACACCTGGCTGGCGCCGGGGATGTGAGTGCACAGACCCTGCCATCCCCCAGGTGTGGACTTCCTGGTGCCCGTGATGGGGTATATCTGCCGCATCTGCCATAAGTTCTACCACAGCAACTCGGGGGCGCAGCTCTCCCACTGCAAGACCTTGGCCCACTTCGAGAACCTGCAGGTGAGCCGGACCTCCTGCCTGCCCCCTGCCCTGCCCAGGGGCTCAGACTCCGCCCAAGCTGATGGGGATGGCCAGTGGCCACCTCCCTCCTGTGTTTGGCCTCAGTCCTTGGGCACAAGGGGAATCAGAGCCCGGGTGAGCCAAGGTCTTCCTGCTGTTGGTGTCGGGGGCGCTGAGGGCCAGGGTGAGCTCTGGCCCAGGGAGGCCGAGCGTATCGCACAGGGTCACACAGCACAGGGAGGAAGCCCTGCCTCACCTGCGCCCTCTGTGTCCAGAAATACAAGAAGGCCAAGAACCCCAGCCCCACCTCCAGGCCTGTGAGCCGCCGGTGTGCGATCAATGCCCGCAACGCCTTGACTGCTCTGTTCACCTCTGGTGGCCGCCCGCCCAGCCAGCCCAGCGCCCAGGACACAGCAAAAACCTCCAGCAAGGTGACGGCCCGGCCCCCTCTACCTCAGCCCCCACTGCCCCGGCGCTCGACCCGCCTCAAAACCTGATAGCGGGAGCTCCCAGGCCCCCCGTCTGGGTCCAGACCTGCTTAGCTGTAGGAGTCTGTGTGGAAACTTTGACATGGTTGGTGTTTTTACTCAAAATCCAATAAAAGAAGGTAGTTTGGCTGTACAGTTCCCACAGCCCTTGTGTCCGGGGGCAGAGGGGAAGGGGGCACCCGGCCAGCTCTCAGCCAGCGCCCAGCCTCTCTAGCAGCGTGGCAGCAGAACCGGAAGGCTCTCTAAGCAGGGGCTCTGCGTTCACAAAGCGCTTCACCTCTCTGAGCCTCAGCTTCCCTCTTAATAATGTATCAGGGCTAGGGAAGCACCTTCAAGTAAGATCTCATTTAATCTTCACAATGACCCTAGGAGGCGGGTCTTGTCATTATCTCCAAATTACAGATCAAGAAACTGAGGCCTAGCAAGGTCAGGTGACTTGCTGAAGGTCATATGTTTGGTGAGTGGCTAGGATTTGACGCCAGGCCTGAGCTCTGGACCCTGTGGAAGTTCAGGTGCACGAGAGTGGACCCTCGCTGCTCTTCAGGGTCTGAGTTTGTGGTTCACTAGTGGTGGGGGGGCGGGTAGGGCCCGCCCTTCTCGTCAGGCAACTCTATGATGAATCATCAGTAAATGGGCCCAGGCTGAGGTGGCTCTCTACTTCTGCTATTTCCCCATCTAGAAAGACCCTTAGAGATAGCCAACCAGACCAACCTTGTTATTGGCCAGCTGAGGAGACTGAGGCCAAGAACAGGAGGGCAGTGCCCAAGGTTGCACAGCATGTCTTGGTGTTGGTTGTCTTGGTGAAAGGCCCTAGTACCCAGAGAAGCTGAGAGCATCATACAGGGTCACACAGCATGTCTGATGCTGTTTCAGCCAGGCTGGGAAAGCAGCTGCTGGCTAGGAGCACACCAGGTGGGGAGGAAGCCCTGACCTCACTTGTGCCCTCTGTGTCCAGAAATACAAGAAGGCCAAGAACCCCAGCCCCAACACCAGGCCCGTGAGCCACCAGTGGTGATCACCTCCTGGAAGGCCTCCACTGTCCTGTTCACTTCTGGCGGCCCCTGGGACCCTCATCCTGGGAAACAGAGGAGAGAGGCACAGTGGTGTTGGAGCCCCGTTTAATGTGGACGCTCAAGGCCTGGGCAGAGTGGGGAGTGCCCAGGGATTGGGCAGGCAGACAAGGTGGGTGGGTTGTGGGCATACTCCTGGCCCCAGGAGGGGATGCTGGGCAGTGTGGGCTGGCTCAGGCACCCCAAGAGGAATACGAGAAAGGTGGCCCAGGCAGGCAGACCCACCAGGGGACCCGCAGGCCAGCCCTTGAGAAGGTATCTAAGCCAGGTGGTGAGTGCCCAGGCCAGAGCCTGGCCAGGGAGGGGCCTGGGTGGGGACTCCGGGAGCCTAGGGGCTGGCATCGCTGGGGGCCTCCCCGAGCTGCTGCTGGAACTCAAGGCGCGTCTGCCGGTTGGACTCAAGCAACTCCTGGAGGCGGGCGTGGAGGTGGTCGTTCTTCTCCTCCAGGTGGTCCAGACAGGAGTTGATCTGGTCCAACATGGAGTTGATGGCAGCGTATTCTGGGAGGAAGGGGAAAGAGAGCCAAGGTCCCTCGCCTCCTCAGGGTTCACAGACACCCTCCCCCACCATGGGCAAGTCCCTCCTCCTTCCTGAGCCTCGGCGTCACCATCTGGAAAATAGGTGGATACCAAAAGAGGAAAGGCTTTGGAAAAATCATACCTAGTGCATCGTCGTTTTTTCTAGGGTTAGGGTGGTCATGGGGAGGTCAGCCAGACAGTGTCCTGCCTGGGAAATCCTGCCAGGTGCCAAGTCTCCTCTCCATTTCCTTCATCAGCTGCCTAGAGGCCAGAGCCCAGGCAATCAAGGCCTCTGCCCCCAGGCAGGCACTACTCTCCAGCCTTTCTGTGGCTCTCTGCCCTTGGGGATGAAGCACCCCACAGGCTCTAAGGCCCCACTCCCCTCTCTAGCGCTGCCCCTGCCCGCCTCTAGCCCTTTCTGCCCCATCCCTGCTCCTGTCTCGAACCCCGCCTCTCATGTCTTTTCCTTTGCTCTCTCACACCTGCCTTTGCCCACCTCAGGCCCGTTGAACATGCTGTTGCCTCTACCTGGAATGCGCTGTGTCCTCCTTCTGTCTTCCTTCCCTCCTCTCCTCCTGGATGAGTCCCACTCGTCCTTCATGTCTCAGCATGGATGACACACAGGGAGTCCTCCCAATGCCCCAGGTGGACCAGGCCTCTATTCCTGAGCCCCTGCCCTCCTCACACCTCTACGGCCCTCACCTCCGGATTGCCTGCCGTGATTATCTGTGTGCTGGTCTGTCTCCCCTACCAGACTGTAGAGCTCCATGAGAGGTGGGATGGTCTTGCGTCCACTGCTGTGTCCCTGGTGCCCTCACTGGTACACAATAACCATTTGTTGAATGAATGAATGGGTGAATGAATGAAGCCTGACTGCCCAGCCTTTCTGCCTTTGCTTAACTGTCCCTGCCACCCAGAATGCCTCAAGCACAACAGCCATTCAAGGACCAGCTCAAAATGCCTCCTCTTCCGAGAAGCCTTCCGTGGTCTCCAGAAGAAACCATCACTCCCTCCACCACGGCCACTCCTGACCTGCTTCTCTCAGCAACACAATATCCCTTAGGTCCCAAGGTCTGGGCCTGTGCCCACTGCGGGACCCAGTTCTGAGCCAGCCCATGACTCAGATACACTCAGCTGCCAGCTTTGGACAAAGGGGAAGTGGCTGGCAGTGTCTGGAAAAGGCCAGGGCTGGAGGAGTGCGGTCTGGGATATGGGTGCGAATGTGTCTGCATTCTGGGGGAAGAGCACCCATCGCCCAGAGCTGGCCCACCTCACAGAGACCAGAGTCCTGGAAGGTCGCTGCTGGCTCTTACATTCCAACCCCCTTGTGGTACAAATGGGGAAATTGAGGACCAAGAAGGAGGAGACCTTCCCAGGGTCCTCCAGCTGGTTCGTGGCAGAGCCAAAATTCAGACTTGGTGACCAGGGGCACTTGGGTTTTAGTCCCAGCTCTGCCCCATCCCAGCAAGTCACGGCACCTTTCTGGAACAGGTGGTGAGAACTGGTTTTTGTGAGGATTCATCTGTATCAAGAACTCAGACAAGGTCTGACCACAGCGAGTACTTACAGATGGTCATTACCGTCAACATTTCGCATTCCGTGTCATGAGACACAGGCCGGGAGAAGGATGGGGGAGGTGAGCATTTCCACACCACTGGGGCCAGACTTTATCTGTGTCAAGGGCACTTCCCAGGTCCAAACCTTTGCCTTCCACTTGGGACACCCTCCTCCCCGCTGTGCTAAGTCTCATGAATCTGCCAACATCCACTCGTGTGACTCCTGGGAGGCCCTTCCTCACGCTGCCACCACAGCTGCCGTGTCATCACACACATCTGGCCACTGTTCACTAGTAGTGTCCGGGGTCAACCAGCCAGCCCGCCACTTACCCCACTGGGAGTGGGAGGTCCTCTACCTCCTCATTAAACGCAGACTGTGGGTGATGAAAGTGTTCTAAAACTACTGTGGTGATGGATGCACAACTCTGTGGATGACCTAAAACCCGCTGAATTGTACAACTGAAATGGGTAAATTGTATAGTATGTGGATTATAACTCAATAAAGCTGTTACCCAAAAGAAAACAAAAAGCAGACTCCATACGTGCCCCACATTTACTAAGTCCTGTTAATAACCCAGTCTTCATTACACTAAAGAGAATAATGACCACTTACTGCACTAGCATGCTTGGAACCTACCTAGTATCTTCCGTTCGTTTTCCTATTTAATCCTGACACACTGCAGTAGGAGACACTAATCATTATTCTTAATTCACAAGTGGAGAAACTAAGGCTCGAGAAGACGAGAAGGGAGCTAATGGTTCTCTCTCCACCTCCCACCCCCCCACCCCGTGCTGTGCAGGCAACAGGCTGCTTTGTAAGCAAGTCACCGTCGCCAAGCCTCCACCAGCAAAGGGGGCCGGGGATGCTGACTCAGCAGGGCAGGCGCGCCCACCCAGACAGCCCCTGCTGCTGAGCCAAGGCGGTCCACAGGCCCCGCCCCCTCAGGAGCCTCCGTCTCCTCAGGGGCTGAAGGAAGTGGCTGGGGCAAATCCCAACAGGGCGAGTGTCCCTGAAGCGGCCTCAGTTTCCCCGTCCGCGAAACGAGGCCAGCTCCCATAGTTCTCGAACGCTGCCGTTTCTGGGGACCCGCTCACACGCAGGTGCTGGCCCTGAACGCCGAAACGGCACCTGCAGCTCGCGACCCGCCCAAGGGTGGGAGAGGCTCCGAGGTCCCTTCCAAGCCCCCATCCCGGCCCCGATCCGCCTTTCCAACAGGGCACCCCCGGAAAGCAAAGGTCGCTTCAGCAGCCCCCCGGGTCACCTGCTTCCCCGAAGCCGTCGTCCTCGCCTTCCGCGCCCGCCTCCACAGGCACGCCCAGGTCCCCGTTGGGGCCCGACATTGCGGGCTCGGGCGCCGCAAGGGCCGCGGACGATGGAACAGCGCCGGGGGAGAGCCGGCGCCGTGCGGAAGGTGCAGGCGGAGGAGCGAACGCCGGGCCGGAAGAGCTGAGCTGCTCGGCTGAACGCGGCGGGCGGCCGGGGCCCCGCCCCCAGGGCTGGAGCCGCACGGCCCGAACCCCGCCCCCTAACTCCGCCCCCGCCCGCCGTCAGACTCCGCCCCCGAGCCTCTAGCCCCGCCCACACCCTGCCTCAAGTCTAACTCCGCCCACCCCCACGTGCGCGCGAGCCCGGCTCCTCCCCTGGCCTCGGGGCGGGGCCGTCCCGGGGCTGCCGGCTGAGAACCCTAGTTGCTGAGGCTCTGGCCCTCAGCTAGGGCGAGCGAGTCCCCACTCTGCCCCATCCTGCCGCTGGGGATCTGAGGGCCCTCAAACCGGCGCCTCCGCGTAGGCGAAATCTGAAACGCGTGGTTTCTAAGACAAACCCCCCCGGCACCCCCCCACCCCCACCCCCCCCACCCCCGCCTCCCCTCACCAATATGGGGAAAATTTCCGTTCACAGCCTCCTTGAGAGTCACCGTCTGTGGCTGCCCGTCAGGGAAGGCTTTGGGATAAGCTGGGCCCAGCTGCCACCATCCTCCACCCCTTTTACCAGCTGGGAAGGGAGGGTGCTGAAAGTGTGCCTGGGGGCAGCTGGGCGGACGTGTGCATCTCGCATCTCTGTGCAACCTCCATGAGTGAGGGTTCGCATCCACTTGCAGTGTCTGTGTCGTGTGTGTTTCCACCTGGGTGTCTGTGTGGTGTGTGTGTCTGTGTGCGCCTGGGCATGTTTCTGGGATCCTGTATGACTCTCTGAGGGTCTGTTGCTCATCCCGGTGTGCCCGGGAGTCTGAGTATTTATCCCTTTGTCTGTGGGCTCATACACAGAGTGGGGTCCTGTGATCCCAAATGTGATTTCACCTCTGAGAGCAAAATGTGTGCCTGTGTTTTTTGGGGGGGTGCCCTGTGCTTATGGGGATAAATGTGTTTGAATTGCATTGGCACATCCACACATGTGACCTGTGTTTCTTTCTTTTTTTTTCTTTTTTGAGGAAAATTAGCCCTGAGCTAACATCTGCTGCCAATCCTCCTCTTTTTGCTGAGGAAGACTGGCCCTGAGCTCACATCCGTGCCCATCTTCCTCAACTTTTTATATGTGGGACGCCTACCACAGCATGGCTTCCCATGCCGTGCCATGTCTGCACCTGGAATCTGAACCGACCAAAGCCGGGCTGCTGAAGTGGAACGTGCGAACTTAACCTCTGCGCCACCCGGCCGACCCCTGACCTGTGTTTCTGACATGTCTCTGCACACTGGTGTGCTACACACAGACACAGGTGCTTCTGTGCTTGTCAGTGGACATGGGGCTCTGCTGTCTTGGTTGGTGAAATGCTATGGTCCCCAGAGAGGGCCTCTCACTGATCAGCCAAAGGCAGCGCCCAGCCCTCCTTCTCTCTCACCCCTGCTCACACCTCTGCCAGGTGCTGCCCCTGCTCAGCCCCCCTCTTTCCCAGGGAGGCAACCTAGCCTCAGAGAGTGCCCCCTCCCCCATCAGGGGCTCCCATCCCATCGTGGGGATCAGAGTCCCTCACCTTGTCCTGTTAGAAGTCAGACTCCATGGAGAAGTGGGTAGGGTCTGCTGGACCATGCAAGGCCCCCTGCAGGACCAGCCCCACCTGCAGCATTCAAGGAGCCATTCCCCTGGAATGGAGAAGTGGCCATTCTCCTGGAGCCCGAGCAGGGGCCTGGGGCTTGGGGTAGTGGTGTGGGCAGAGGGAAGCGGGAAGGAGAGGAGAGCAGAGGGCAGATGAAGCCAAAGCTTCATCCCCCATGTGGATGCCCATGTGAGGGCAGGGAGCTGGGGGAGTGAGGGAGCTGGGGCTGGGGGAGCAGGCGAGGTGGCAGAGGCCCCTTGCCTGGCTGGCCCCTTCTCCACTCACAGAGGCCAGAGCTAACCTGCACCCTGCCCACCCCACTCCTGGGGTCAAGGCCCACACACCAGACCACAGGATAAAACAACCCCCTCCCCAGCCAGCCCCGATGGGGGTGGGGGTGTGCCTTGGTACTGCCTTGCCTGTGGGGTCCCTGTTCACCTCTCATTCCCCAACTCACAAGCTCTGCCATCATTTCTCTCTAAGCCCGGGGGCGTGGGCTGAATAATCGTCCCCAGAGATATCCGGGTCCTGATTCTTGGAATCTGTGGACGGTACTTTATTTGGAAAAAGGGTCTTTTCAGATGTGATTACATTATGATTTGAGCTGGAAAGATTATCCTCTATTATCCAGGTGGGCCCTAAACGGAATCACAAGTTATAAGGGGGAGACGGAGGGAGATCTGACCATGGACATAAGAGGGAAGGCCGTGTGAGGACCTCCGCGGAGAGAGAGGTTTGGAGATGTTATGCTGCTGCGCTCTTTGAAGAAGGTGGAAAGGACCACAAGCTAAGGGATGCAAGGAAGGCAGCTCTAGAAGCTAGAAATGGCAGAGAAGTGGGTTCCCCTTGGAGTCCCCAGGGGGAAGCATAGCCCAGCCAACGCTTTGATTTCAGCCCAGGGAAACTGATTTTCCACTTCTGGTCTCCAGGACTGTAAGACAAGAAATATATGTTGTTTTAAGCTGCTAGTTTGTGGTAATTTCTTTTTCTTTCTTTCTTTTTTTTTTTGAGGAAGATTAGCCCTGTGCTAACTGCTGCCAATCCTCCTCTTTTTGCTGAGGAAGACTGGCCCTGAGCTAACATCTGTGCCCATCTTCCTCTACTTTATACATGGGACGTCTACCACAGCATGGCGTGCCAAGTGGTTGCCATGTCCGCACCCGGGATCCAAACCGGCAAACCCCGGGCTGCCGAAGCGGAACATGCAAACTTAACCACTGTGCCACCGGGCTGGCCCCTGTGGTAATTTCTTATAGCAGCCATAGAAAACTAATAAACCCAGTGACCCTGGGAGAAAACACAGAGCCCCATTTGTGCCCTGAGAGTTTGACCCTGGAAGGCCTGGCAGGCCCAGGTGGTGATGGGAAGCTGTGTTGTGTGGGCCAAGGCAAAGAACCTGCATCTGCTGCCTCAAGTAGAGCCCAAGGGCCAGGCGTGCTGGGTTCAGCTTCCCCCACTCTCGGCCAGCTCGGGGGCTCTGGCTAGTGGCCCCCTTGGTGCTCTTCTCAGTGTGGGCCTGTCTGAGCTCAGGTATGGCTCCCATCCCTCACTCAGCCCAGGCTGCAGCAAGCTGGTCTCTTCCTGGAGTCTGCTTCAGACTTCTGAGGCTGCGGCAGCATCTGGTGGGCCTCGGTCTCAGGCCTGTCCTGCTCCCTGGGGGCTCAGGCTAGGACTGCTCACAGCTCCAGTGTCTCCCCACCCCCTCAGCCAGTGGGTAGGTGTGCAAGTCTGCAGAGCAGAGAAGCCTAGGTTTCTTCAGAACCCCGCCTCCTCTGGCCTCTGACCTTGCAGGGGGAGAAGAGGCCACGGAGGGAGTTGCTGTGTGTGATGCAGACGTGCAGGAGCTGCAGCTGTGGCCTGCGGGTAGACAGGGCTTATCAGGCCCCTGACCCTGACAGCTAAGCAGTGGGTGCAGGCCTCAAGCCCTCGAATCTTCCGGAATCTGGATTCCTGGCAGCATATTCCCCTCCTTGCCTCCCCCGGCCCTGCCCCTGGTGATCAGCGGTCATGATGGAGACGAGGCATGGGTAAGGGACAGCACTCTGAATGGGGTCAGCATGGACACTGCCACCCACCAGTGGGGCCAGGAGGGTGAGCACTGGGCCCACAGGGGCCAGCAGAGGGGCAGGGAACCACCCCTGGCGACCCTTTCTGCCTGGCACAGCCTCAAGCTGGGCATGCCTCCGCCCCACCACTGTGCACCCTTCCCACACTGGCTGCCATCTTCCAGCATCCACAGGGTGATCAGAGGTGACAGCACCTCAGCCTTCCCAGGCCCCTCCAGCTCCCTGGCCCTGGCTGGGCCTCTGCTACAGGACTGTTGCAGGCAGCAGAGCATGGGCATGAGGTGTGGCCCCATCACTGTTTCCGCTGGATTGGATACCCCTTGAAGGCAGGGACATGGAGGTGGGTCCAGGGTTGGGAGCCAGGAAGTGTTCAGTGAAAGCTGGACTCTAGTTCTGCAGCCTCCATTCCTCACTGGGACCTCAGTCCCTGGGAGCAATGCTAATGTGAACCCACCCTTCACCCATCCTCCTCCCAGATGGCCCAGGGGTCAAGGAGCACAGACTGGGGGGCTGGGGGCTTGTGTTTATTTAGCAGGAAAGGAGGGGCTCCAGCAGTAGGGTGGCCTGGGGAGCAGCTGGTGGGCTGTGCTTCGGGAAGGGTCCCTTGGCTCTCTCACTGGTGTCCGGGCTGGTTGGGGCAGCTGAGGCAGTGCCCTGGGCAGGGGCTGACATGAGGGTGACGGGGGCAGAGAGACAGAAGGCACCTGAGAGGGAGACAAGGAAATCAAGATGGCAGCAAGCTTGGTGGGGAGCAAAGGCAGGCCCGAGACCCTGCCCCGCTGTACCCCAGCTCCCACTAGCCCCCCGAGCTGTACTCACTGCGCGCTCACTCTTCATCGATGCATTGATCTGTGGAGGAGAGAGTCGGTCAGAATGGGCAGGGGTGTGTGTGTGTGTATGTCTGTGTGTGTGTGATCCCTGACCACCAGGGCCCCTGTACTGCCCCTGGGCTGCCCCAGTCTGGCCCAGCAGCAGCAGATCTGGGGGTTCCCTTCAGAGATGGGGCAGCAGAGGGGTGGACGATGGGGGCAGCGGATTGGGAGAAAGGGCTGAGGACAAGTGGACCTGGGGAACACGCATTCTCCGGAGGAGGCAAGTGAGGCCCAGACGCTTGCTCGGGTACCCAGGCCTCCTGCCCATCTACCCACCGAGCCCTAGCAGCCCTTCAGCCTTGGGGAGCTCACTAGCTCTCTGAGTGGCCTGGCTGGAGCCCCCTGCCCAGGCCAGGCCACCTTCAGTCAAGAGCACCTCCCAAGTCAGTGGTGAGCAAGCCCCAGGCCAAGCCGGGGACAAGTGGGCCTGGGAGTGTGAGGAGGGAGTAGCCTGGGACAGCAGGACCTGGGGCATAGCGGGAGGTGGCCCTGGGCAATGAGGCAG